GATCTTATCAATAACTTTACTCAAAAGACAATAGGTAAATATGCCACTGAAGGGTCAGATAAACCAAAGAGAGTAGTATGAAACAATTAAGCAGAAAAAGCAAAACATGGGAGGCATCGAATAACATCCTCAATTCAAAGGGACACTAAAGGCACCCAGTCCACTTCAGCTCATTAAAGTGGTCTGGGTGCAGTGTCACAGCACCCTTAACCCTGGATAGCTAATTATTGTAGTTTTTTTGTAAACTGCAATAATTACCATTATGGGTTAACTCCTCCTCCTCTACCAGACAGCCACTAGAGGGACTTCCAGATTGTTAGGCGACTATTGGTTGCCTAACTGATGCTGGATGTCCTCACGCTATGCATGAGGACTTCTAGTGTCACCAGAATCCCCATAGGAAAGCATTGAATAATGCTTTTAAATATTGCTTTCCTAAGGGGAAATCTTAATGCGAGTGCGTCCACTGCTGCGCATGGGCAATAGGTCTCCCCGCCGGCTGACTTTGTTTTCCTGGCACTATTGTTTCCCGTTAAGCATATATGTAAAGGCAGTATCGGCTGGAAGGTTAGATTCGTTTAGCCCACTCCAACCTCTGGGAAAATAGAATATAGCAGCTTCGTGCCCCTTCTCAAAAGGTGTAGATGTCAAAAGTAAGTTGCACCACCAGGCCCATATGCAAGTCGACCGTATTGGCCCAAGGATTTGGCTGCGCTCATCTCCCGACTTGGAAGTCCAGGATTGTCCCAGATGATGAAGGCACATTTCTATGCGGCAGATGTCAGCCCAAATGGGTCCCTACAGGATGTCGGCTTTGTCAAGGAAGTTTCCTTCCAGATGTTTGCAGCCTAGGTAAGTGGTCTCTCAGCTTATGAGGTTGACAAAAGCAGATTAAGAGGTCCCTGGTTCTGAACTCATTGTATGACCAGTTAACCATCAATGTAGGCTGAGGACAAAGCAAGTAGAAATAGCAAAATATTTGAAATGCTATCTTGTTTTTAAGAAAAATTAGCTGACTTTTCATGTTTTTATAACAACTTTGGTTACTTGTATTTCAACGTTTCTTACTAATATTTGAACATTAGCAATTTATTGGCTTCATCAAGTGAAATAAATACAAAAGCTATTCTTCACACATAAATGTGAATAATATTGCCTTATGTGTAAGAAAAGTCATAAAACAGTGTAAAAAGCACAAATCTTCCAAATTTTGTAGTTCACTATATATGTCATTAGAAAAAAAAAAAAAAAAAGTCCCCAAGTGTTTCCCATAGATGGGGGTATACCTCAGTGGTAGAGCATTTGACTGCAGATCAAGAGGTCCCTGGTTCAAATTTGGGTGCCCCCTTTGCTTACATTTTAGATACCATCTAATCCTAGAACAATGACCTACCTTTAGATACCCACTTTATCCTAAAAAGATTGAACGTCTCTGAACTCATCATATAACAAGTTAACCATTGATGTAGTTCTATTACTACAATTATCTGGATGTGATTAGACGGAAACATTTGCATCACTTTACCCACAATTCTCACCTGCAGGGTGTGCACTGAATGATGCTGACATCAGAAACTTTCTTTAAAAGCAGTTTTCAGCTTTTCTTTACTGACCTTAACAAGGTGACCATTAAAACATCAGCACGTAGTACATTTTCACTCACCTCGTGTTTGATGACAGAAGGATTAAGAAGTATTGCCGCTCCCTAGAGTGGTCAGACTTAATGCTACCTCAGAACTTTAACCCCTTCCCGACCTCAGACGTGTGGGGTATGTCCGACAAAAAAGGCAGTTAATGACCGCGGACGTACTGTGCACGTCTGCGGCTAAAATGACCCGAGTACTCACCTGGACCGGCGAGAGAATTTAAACAATCTCAAAGACATACATACTGGATATATCAGTTAGACACCTTAGAACCCAAGGGTATGAACGTAGATGTGGATCTGGCTTGTTTCATGTCATAACCTACTGTGGTTGATGGTTTTCACCATACCCTTTCTTCCATGTGTTTTTTGACTCTTTACTTCTCTACTACTATATAAATACAAATCTTTTTATATGTGGAGAGAGGTTGGGTTTGTAATTAGTGACTGTTTTTGTATAAGACTTCAGAGGGGATTTGCATCTCTCATTTTGTTTTTGATCAAGGTAACTATATACTATATATTATTATTATACTTTAATTTTTATACATAGCTTTCATACAGCACATGTATGCCGATTCTGTCACTCATCAAGTAAAAAAAAAATTTAGTACATGATGTATTGTAAATAATATATGATTTATATAAGAGACGTTTTTTATATATCCAAATTTTATTACTTTTATGTCATTCATCCTATAATTATTATCATATCACAATATAGTCTTTAGATTTACTATATATATTTAATAATTGTGAGATAACTTCAGAATATATCGAGAATATTTTATAAATAGAGATGGATTTCCCCGCGTTGTGTGAAAAAAAGTCTTTTCCATTTATTAATGAATAAATCATTGTTAAACTCTTTTATATCTGAAGATTTAATGTCCAGTACACTCCTGTTATGTTATTGATCAGAGTGAACTTGGAATGCACATTGCTATGGAAATGGAATGCAAACAGCATTCAGGACTTACAAACCGGAAACTTTTTTTTTTTTTTACAATTGTGGTTTGTGTTATATAACCATTCCTGCACAATAAACTATTTTCTGAGGCTGTTATTTTAGAGCTCCACAGTGAAATGTTTGTATCTGTCCAGGACACTCATTTTGCACTTGTGGCTCCTCAGTGTGCTGACTTCCTGTCCCATGTCACCCTTTTAAGTGTGGCCCAAAGATTAGCCAAAGTAGCACAGTCATTTGAATAGTGTAATCAGCACAAGTCTTCCAAGTTTTATATTTCACTATGTATGTCATCGGAACACAAAAACATTAAAAAAAAAAAAATTAATTTTTTTTTAAAAACACCCAATCTTCACATGTTTTCCATTCCATTGTACAGCGCTATGGAATCTGATGGCGCTATATAAATAATAAAATAATAATAATTTCACTATGTATGTCATCGGATCACAAAAACATAAAAAACAAAAAACAAAAACACACCCAATCCCAACATGTTTTCCATTGGAATCTGATGGTGCTATATAAATAATAAAATAATAATAATAATTTCACTAGGTATGTCATCGGATCACAAAAACATAAAAAAAAACAACAAAAAAACACCCAATCCTGACATGTTTTACATTGGATGGGGGTATAGCTCAGTGGTAGAGCATTCGACTGCAGATCGAGAGGTCCCTGGTTCAAATCCGGGTGCCCCCTTCACCTGTTTTATTTGAAACAATTTAGTCCTGAAAGGATAGATCACCTCTGAACTCATTGTATAACCAATTAAGTCCATCACTACAATTATCTGGACATGAATAGGTGGAAACATGTGTAACATCTTGCTTATAATTCTCATTTGAAACAACCACAACATGTTCCATCTGCACTTTTTTTCACTTTTTTAAACTTCCTTTTAACCTACAGATGTGAATTATTTTGCGGTATGTGTAAGATAAGTAATAAAATAATGTTAGAAGTACAAGTCTTCCAACTGCAGATTGAGATGTTACTAGTTTAAATCTGGGTGCCCCCTTTGCCTACCATCTAATCCTGAAACAATGACCTCTCTTATAGATACCTATTTAATCCTAAAGATTGAACATCTCTGAACTCATCATATAACAAGTTAACCATTGATGTAGTTAGATGGAAAAATTTTCATCACTTTACTCACAATTCCCACCTGCAGGGTGTGCACTGAATGATGCTGAAGTCAGAAACTTTATTTAAAAGAAGTTTTCAGCTTTTCTTTACTAACCTTAACAAGGTGACCATTAAAAGAGCAGCACGTGGGGGGGGTGGAGCCTGACTTTAAAGAGGGAAAGACACTTTTGGCATGAGCTCCCATTCTCTGGAAACACTCTTCTCACCCCCCACCCTGGATCGGCGGGGGTCATCCCTGGGCCGATCTGCTTGACATGCATAACCCAAGCTACTGTCATGGCAAAAGTCATGATATCCAAGATGGCGACCATAGGAACTCCAGAGGTGCAAGGCCTGCAACGGCCCCACGGAGATCTCCATGATTACATTGCAGGCTCTATGCTGCGTCTGGAGGAAATATTCTTACGCTTTTGGGGGGCATTAGAGGACCGAGCAGCGGCAACATTACCTTTATCTAGCGGCATAGCCCTGACAAGGTGCCCGGAAATTACACCTGCGACAACGTCCACACACGCGGAAACCGGCCAGCCGTTTACAACAAAAGCAACGCAAGACAAAGATATTTTGCACTTCTAGGCTTGGAAAGGACCTGGCACCTAAGATTTACCAAATACGTGACTGATGTTATCGGCCCTTAATAAGGCCTGGGGCAGGAGGGGCACCTTAGCACAGTATCGGTATGCTATTATTTCTAGCGGACCTTCTCAAAGCACTATGGGCTTACTGACTATGGGAATCGGCTGGCTTCCCCACCCCTATAGCATGACAGCCTAGACCTTTTGTTTTATTATTTCTGTAGAAGCTATCTTGCATCAAGATTTTTTTTCCTTTTTTCTTTTATTATGTCTAGGTCCCAGTGGTTCAAGTTTGTTCCTACCGCTTAAAGGGACTCAAGTTTTCTGACCTATTTTAACTCATCACTAACTGCCCTTATTTTCTGTCTCCCAGGAGGTAACATACCAAATAGACTGAGGACAAAGCAAGTAGAAATAGCAAAATATTTAAAATGCTATCTAGTTTTTAAGATTGGCAGAAGTAGCAGTGTCACTTAGAAGAAAAATGAGCTGGCTTTTGAACATTAGCAATTTATTTGGCTTCATCAAGTGAAATAAGTGAAATAAAGACGAAAGCTGTTCTTCACACATGAATGTGAATAATTTTGTCTCATGTGTAAGAAAAGTAAAACAATAGTGTAAAAAGCACAAATCTTCCAAGTTTTGTATTTCACTATGTATGTTATCAAGAAAATTATGTTGATGTCAGAAATTTTCTTTTGACAGTTTTCTGCTTTTCTTTACTGACCTCAATAAGGTGACCATTAAAAATTCAGCATGTAGTACATTTTCACTTACCTCGTGTTTTCGACACTTATAACTCATGGTTTTGTTACCAGTTATCAAACCTTTGGAAGGATTTCAAATGCAATGCATGGTGCTTCCCCCCACAAACATAACAGACAATTGTTGTGAAATATGATTTGTGTCTGTCATGAACCAGTTTACCCCAATGGTATGCTTCCTGGGTGAGGGTATAGCTCAGTGGTAGAGCATGTAGGCTCCACCCAGACACCAAAATAATTGAATGCCTCTGAGCTCATGTTATCAACACACTAATGTCACCCTTTTAAGTGTGGCCCAAAGATTAGCCAAAGTAGCACAGTCATTTGAATAGTGTAATCAGCACAAGTCTTCCAAGTTTGTGATTTTAATATGAATGTCTTTGGAACACAAAAACATAAAAAAAAACAACAGACAATGTTTATCATGGGAGGGGGTATAGCTCAATGGTAGAGCATTCGACTGCA